CACGCTTATGCATGCATGGGTGGTTAATAGACTTTTAAAAACCCTTTCATTAGCATTAGCACTGACTTGGCAGTTTGCGAACAGCTGTTCCCTGTGACTCCGGTCACCCTCATGAGAGACCACACTCCAAGACAGGCCCAGTGAGGTGTGATGGCCACACCCCTCTTCAGAAGTCAGCCACTGTCTCACCTGACCATGACATTTGTTCAAGTTGTTCCAGTGGGCTTACTTATGGGGGAGTGGCCAGGATATTCATGCCTTGGCTCACATGGGAGCTCAGCTCCTGATTCTTAGAATGATGGGGTAAGGAGTCCATCTGGTCCATGCCTCTGCCTCCAGGCAGGGCGGCACTCAAATTACCCACCTGCTAGGCCTTAGTGATGAGTCAGCCACGTGGTTGCAACCATATCACTTGGACGGACACTTTGGCTTTGGATATTCGCTACCAGTGGCTTTGGGACCGTTCAGTAGACATGTCTGACTACTGGAGGCCTTCTGAGGTGGCCTATTCACCCAAGGGGTCCTGTCTCTTACATGGTCATTCTCTCATCTCTCAGGGAGCTGGAGGGGGCACTGCTGAGATCATATGGGAAGCAATTCAGACTGAATTAATTTTCCTCTGTGCCTTCCCACTCAGCTCCCTTCTGAGCTACAAATGAGCACTTAACAAATTATAGTTTTCTTCATCTCTGAAATCAACATTCTAAAATCAATAGAAAATATAGATCATTGTTGTTTAATTATTGATGGGGGAAGGTGCAATAATAATGGCACAAACCCCATAATATATAAAGAAAAGAGTTGATTAATTAAAGTCCAGAAAAAACATAAGTTTTATACAGCATAAAGTATCATATATAAGGTAAAAAGACAAATAACTACAGAACAATATAACACATAGGCCTGGGAAGAAGTTGATAGCCCTAATATATAAATACATATTACAAATTCAAAAGTAAATACACATACACAATGAAATGAGTAAAGGACACAAAGAACCCTTTCCTAATCCCTCCCTCCCCCCACCTCATTATTTCCCTCATACACACACATATCCACACACGTTGTGTTAGTCCGGGTTTTCCAGAGAAACAGAACCAGTAAGATGTGTACCTATATACACAGAGATTTATTTTAAGGGACTGGCCCACACAGCTGCGGGAGCTGGCAAGTCTGAGAACTGCAGAGCAGGCTGGCAGGCTAGAGAACCCGGGAGTGTTGACGGTACAGCCGCCAGTCTGAAGGCAGCCTGCAGGCAGAATTCCTTCTTCTTGCGCAGCCCTCAGTCTTTTTTCCTAAATCTTTCTACTGACTGGTTCAGGTCCATCCACATTACGGAGGGTAATCTGTTTTACTCAAAGTCAACTGATTTAAATGTGAATCACATCTAAAAAAAAAAAAAAAGAATCCCTTCACACCAACATCTACGTTGAGTGTTTGATTTAAAATCGGGGTGCCATGGCCTAGCCAAGTTCACACATAAAATTAACCATCACAATTCACCCCTTGTCCACTTGGCACCCATACACATCTCCTTAAACAATATTTAACCGCCAAATAAAGACAATGACAAGGCCATACTGCCAGCTAACATGATGCAGTTAGGCTCTGTCTAGCAGATAATGCAAAAACCCTTTCTCCAGAAAAGGATGTAAAGTCCTTCAGTGATGTTGACTCTTCTCCTTGATATCCTTAACTTGACTTTTATTATGTAATGTTGAACAATACTGAACTATATCAGTCAATACATCTTATGTTATGTGATAGAATGGGAGGAAACCAAAGGTACTTCACACACACACACACACACACACACACACACACACACTCATACCAAAGTAAGGAAGTAAACATGCTCATAGTAAGAAATGCCCATAGTTCTGGCCATGGTCACCCAATATTCATTCCTGAAGGGTCTGGGCCATGAATAGTCCTGTCTGAATTGGGTTCTTCGAGTTTCCCATGGACTTTAATCGAAGGGCGTGGCAGAACTAAGAGTCACCCTAAGGGACCCCTTGTATTCCACACATACTCTTCTTTACCTCCACTGTGAGTAGCAGTTTAATTCCTCGGTGGTAATCAGGATCAATCGCCCCACTGAGCTCTGTAGCTACCTTCTTCGCCTGTTGATTCAGAGTCCTGAGGAGGCCAAAGTAGCCAAGTGGCATTCTTAACTTCCAGTTCAATGGAATCATTCTGTCTCCTGGTGCCTTCTCCTCTTCTGGACTGCGTTCAAAACTAGCAGGTTTGGGGTTACTCAGTTAATGGGCTAGCGTAGCACACCCAAATGAAAAATATGTTACTTCCAAAATCCAAAGAGGCACACTAGGTGTTGTGCCTCATTTTTTATTGTAGGGGGGGCCAGATGCAACTACTTCTGTTTCACTTTAGAAGGGATATCTCAACATGCCCTGTACCACTGGACCCCTAGAAATTCCACCAAGGTAGAAGGCCCCTGAGTTTTTGTCAGAGTTATTTCCTACCGTCTGACACACAAATGTCTTGCCAGTAAGTCTAGAGTAGTTACTACTTCTTACTTGTTAGGTACTATCAGCATAATATCATTGACAGAATGGACCAGTGTGATGACTTGTCGAAGGGAAGGACAATCAGGATTGCTGAGAACTAAATTATGACATAGAGTAGCAGAATTGTCCTACTCCTGAGGAAGGACAGTAAAGGTATATTGCTGGCCTTTCCAACTGAAAATAAACTGCTCTATTATTAAACTGGTGGTCTTTACTGACAGATATGAAGGCAAAAAAAGAGAAGAAGAACATTTTCCAGATCACTAGCTGCATGCCAGTTACCAGGGGATGTGCTAACTTGCTCAAGTAACAAAACCACATCTGGTACAGCAGCTACAAGGGGACTCACCACTGGCTTCAGCTTACAATAACCCACTGTCATTCTCCAAGACCCATCTGTTTTCTGCACAAACCAAATAGGCAAGTTAAATAGGGATGTGGTGAGAATCACCACCCCTGCATCCTTCAGATCATTCATGGTATCACTAATCTCTGCAATGCCTTCAGGGATGTGGTGTTGCTTTTGATTTATTATTTTTCTAGGTAGAGATAGTTCTAATGGCTCCTACTTGACCTCCCCATCATAAGAGCCCTCACTCTACCGATCAGAGAACCAAAGTGGGGATTCTGCCAGTTGTTGTGTCTGTCTGTTCCAATCATACATTCTAGAACCAGGGAAACAACCACAGGGTGGGTTCAGGACCCACTGGGCCTACGGTGAGATGAAAAAACTGAGCTAAAACTCCATTGATCACCCGGCCTCCATACGCTCCTATCCTACCAAATAGGGACCAAAGTGGACCAAAGTGATGTTTTGAGTCTCCTGGAATTAGCATCAATCCAGAGCCAGTGTCCGTTAGCCCCAAAGTCTGATTATTTTCTTTTCCCCAGTGCACAATTACCCTGGTAAAGTGCCGTAAGTTCCTTTGGGGAACGCTGGGGGAAAGATTAATAGTATAACTCTTTGGCGGAGTTCAAGAGTTCTTCCTCCAGAGGACCCATCCTCCCCTTCATTCGAGGGGTTCCGTGTCTACAAACCAGCTCAGAGTTGGGAATTGATTGAGGGAGCATTATTCTCTCTTTTTATGGTTCAGAGGTTTGTTCACTTAGAACTTTTCCTCCTATACATATAAAGTAAGAATGTAGTAGGCTCCCCATCAATTTCATTTCCAAACCACCATGACGAACTAGCCAGAGCCACAGCTCTCTGTGAGTCAGGATGTTCTGATTACTGCTTTGACTCTGCTGTCCATGATAGTAACCACACCCACTTTGCCTTTGGTGCCCGAGTGCTGCCAATGGTATCCAATTATCCTTATTGCATTTAGGTTTCCCAATTCAGTGGCATCAGATTCCACTGTAATTTCTAACCTACAGAGAAGACCAATCACATAGCTCTTCAAGGATGCTGTGGTCTCCTCACAAATTGATTTCTCATAGCCCTGAAAGATAAGTCCTCTGGGCCCTTCCAGAGGAGATGAGCAGATGTCAACTGATAACTCCACTCTAGCATCCCAATAAGCCTTTGGACCCCTTCCTCTATAATTTACTAAGGAAGTCCTGGCATCTCATTTTCATTCAGTGTCAGCCACCTTTTGGTCCATGTTTCAGCCAACCAACCCAACAAATTGTTAGAGCCCCGTCCAAGCGGACTTGCGTGAATAAATTCGGCCTGATCCAACTTTATGTCCCTTCCACAATTATCTTGTACCCTTAATATCCATCCCACACATATTCCCTGGGTTTATATCTGTATAAATTAGAAAAAATCATGTAGTTCTTTTGGAGTGCAGTGTACCCGTTTATGGGTCACACTTTCTACATCACCTTTTGGGGCCTACTGGGACTTGAGTCGAGGTGCATGTCTAGAAGCAAAGAGAGATGGTGGGATGGGTTCTCAAGAGAACCAGCGGTGCACTGCAAGGCAACCACTTCCAGGAGGCCTTTCAGCTTCCTCAGGAAATGCATGGTTAACCACCTCAGAGGGGGATGAAAAGGCTGCTTCTACTGGCAAAAGACACAACTTGGTGGAATGGAATTTAGAAATTCAATGTCTCAACTTTATCAGGAAGTTCCCAAATGTCTCTATTCCAATTTTCAGGACTCCAGGGATGAGACAACTAGATATCATGTGAGGCATGGTGTCAGCTCTCAGAAGGACGCTCCTTGTGAAAATGCATCACTGAACCTAGTCAGGCAGAGACATCAAACAAACCCAAATTGACAGGCATTCTACAAAAACCAACAACTGTTTAAAAATCTTCAAATCATAGAAGACAAAAAGCCAATGTTGGTTCCTGGATTGGATTCTGAACCAATAAAAATTTGTTTTGCTCTTAAGGACATTAGTGGTGCAAGTGGCAAATCTGAGTAAGTTCTGTAGACACTGAGGCCTCAGGGGAAGCAGGAGTTGAGGACAGAGTATAAAAAGATAATGTAGGAATAAAAAGAAAACAACAATCAAGGAGGGCATGAAGATGTCTAGTTTTATTATTTCACATCAGGCTGGGTTTACAACAAGGTAAGCTCTGAAGGACCTAGGGTCTGTGCTTTGGGTTCCCAGGGCAGCCACACATATGGGGGAGGAGGTGAGTAAATGGGTTTGGGGGAGGGGTTGTGGCTTCTGGGCACCAGGGCACAGGGATCCTCTGGGCCAGAACTCAAGGCTGCACTCAGACCCCTCAGCCCCTTGGGCAGGCCCAGCAGGGGGAGCAGGAACAGGAGGAGGGCTTTGGCCACTCGCTGTCCCCAAGCCTGCGCTCCTTGGCTCAGGGTCCACTTCAGCAGCAGCCTCCAGACGACTGACCGCTGCCCCCTCCACAGCAGCTGGAGCCCCCCGAGGGCTGGCTGCAGCAGCCAGGGCTCTGGTGTCTGTGACGGTGGGAACTGCGTCGCCTGTGGTGGCTCAGGCAGCAGCCGCCGCCCCCAGAGCTGCAGCAGCCTCCGCCCCCAGAGCTGCAGCAGCCGCCGCCCCCAGAGCTGGAGCCGCAGCAGGAAGAGACTGGGGGGCACTTGGGGGGGCACTTGGGGGGGCACTTGGGCGTGGGACACTTGGGAGGGGGCTGGCACTGCTGCTGGTTCTGCTGGCAGGACATCTCGGCTGGCAGGGTCAGGAGCTGAGGGAGAGTCACACAGTGAGTCAGACCCAGGACCCTGAGCCCCCCTGCCCCACCCCTTCCTGTCCTCAACATCATTTCTAGTGCCTTTATTTGATGAACTGTTTAAATGGAGTCCTTGATAATTCAACAGAGAGACTTTCATTATTTCTAATAGTTCCCCAAATGCCCTCACATCATCTCTGGAGTGCTTCATCTGTTATAGAATTAGAGAACTGAAGCCAAAATATGTTAAGAAAAAGTGCTCAAAATCAAACATCTAGAGGAGATATTCTACAGCAAAAATCACGGAAATAGTAAATCTAGGTGACAGTTTAGAAATGAAATTGTTTCTTTAGGGAAAACAGTCATTCCCTCTTGCAGAACTTTCTAGATATCCTTGTCCTGTAGGGACATAGAAGTCCACACCCGCAAAGGACATTGCAGATTGGCTGGAAGAATGAGCTGAGGGAGAAGATAATTTACTGTAAGCTGGGACTTGCACCGGGCCCCTGACCGGGCCCCGCTGCCCTGGCATCTTGCAGACGCTCCCCTCAAACTAACACCTCAGCATCAAGATTTGAGTTGTTCCTACTCAACTCTGAAGTCCTTTTGTCTGAGTGCTTAAAATAAGTCAGTCAGTTGTGATTTCCTCTCTGCTGGCTGAGTGTCACTGTTCCCATCTTTACTTTTCCCTGGAGGGACAGTTATGCTTTCAAAGATAAACCTCCCTGTTGACAACAGTTATGGGTTGGTATGGTGGTCAGTGTTGCAAATCCTTCCAACCAGAGACCAACAACTACAGATCAGTTTGTTTTTTCTAGTGTACTGTCACACTCACACAGTTCCTTCTACTCATGTTCCCAGCCTTCCTAGCTCCTTGCCCCTCCCTCAGTGTCCCTGCGACTTGTTCTTTGCTAATATGAACCCAACCTCATCTTCTTCTCACTGCCACCCACCACACACACACACACACACACACACACACACACACACACACACTGCAAAGGCTCTGCCCCCCACCCCCCACCTCCTGCTCTGGTTTGAGCTCCCTCTGCGGAAGGCTCTGCTTTCAGTCCCAGGGGACACTTACCGGTGCACAGGCAGCAGTGGGTCTGTCAGCACCTCAGGAGAGGAGTGTATGGAGGTGCTCTGACTCTGAAGCCCTTTTATCCCGGCTTTGGGCTCTGCCCTCAGCCTGTGAGACAGGACCTGGGCACGAGGGGACTGCCTCCTGCCACCCACGAGGTCCTGTGACAGGTGGTGACTGGCAGCTCCTTCCTGCCTCCTTCCATGGGGCTCAGAGCAGCTGCTCCCAGCTTGGAATAGGGCTGCTTAGAAAAAGTACCACGGGAGAAAAACTGTAATCATCCCCCACCTTACACTCCCACTGTCCCTGCAGGATACCTGCCTGGCTCAGTTTTGGAGCTTGAGTTCCCAATGTCTCTTTTCTTGCCTCCCAAATCTTAATTCAATGTTTCAGTCCGGTTTAAAGCAAGTTTCATAGAATCCTCCAAATCTTTATTACCTTATATGTGAGTGTGTGTGTGTGTCTGTGTGTGTCTGTGTGTCTGTGTGTGTGCACGTGCACATGGGCCCATATGTACGTGTGCCTTAGGAACCAACAAACAACTTGACGAGTCAGACTCAAGAGAGAGTCCTGGTTCTGACACCTATTAACTCCATGACCTTGTGAAAAATACCTCATCCTTCTTGTTCTCAGTTTTGTCCATCTACAGTAGAGATAATATAAAAATAACTACAGGGGTGTGTATGTGAGAGCTAATGCAAAGAAAAATTCTGGTAGAGAGTTTATAACACGCTGTATTCCTTAAACAAATGCCAGCACATTCACTTTTTTAAAATTACAACTGTTTTCTAAGGAGAGTGAGTGTGGTTGGAAAATACAAGACCCTTCTGTTTTCTTGAGATTAGTGATATGTTTTAATAAGACAGTATTACCAGGAATAAAGTTTTATACAAGAGGGAGAGAGGGAAGACCTGGCCAGTGAAACTGAGAATTCAGATTTTCCAGGGGTCATGTAGGAAGGCTGAAGTGAAGTGAACATCCCTGCTGGAATGCGGCAGAGGCCGAGAAAAAGCTGAGAGGACAAGCTGCTAGGACATGAGAACAGAGGCTGGACTCCACACTCTGGGGCCAACATGTGAGTGGGAGAGACACCGTGAGCATGTGTGTCTGTGTGTTCAGGTGCCTGTGAGTGTGTGTCAGTGTGTGGTCATATCTATGTGATGACAGCATGTGATTATGTGTCAGTGTGTGATCGGTTGTGACCTCATGTGAGGGCTTATGAATGTATATGTGTGGGAATATGTGCATGAATGTGCAAGCATGAGTGAGTGTGCAAGAGTGAGTGAGTACAGGGCTGATATTCAAGAGGTATATTCCAGCATACACAGGTGTTGCTGACTGAATGGTTGAAATATTAAAACCACTTCTGTAAGAGATAGCAAACAGCCACCACACTAACTCCCCTGCCCACCAGTGCTCCTGCCACCACACTGACTAACCCACAGAGTCCTCTACACCACTGGGAAACTAGGAGGACCATAACTGTCACATCAGGGCTTCTGAAATGCTGGTCCGGCTTCTGCTCTCGAAGCTCAATACCAATCTACAAAGTTGTAGAATGTACTTGAATAACAACCACTGTGTGTAATTTGTGTGAGTGCATGAACACACACGAGTGCTTAATCTTGTGCAAACAAGTATGACTGTGTGGAGGTTTGTAAACATGCTGACTTTGCCTCACCAATGGATTGATGGGTTCTACGTTCTGGAAAGACAGGATTCAGTCTTTATGCTTCTTCTAGCTACCAGCACAGTCAGGGCACTTGCTGTGTCACAGAGAATGTAAACCAGAGAGCCAGAGTGTCCTGAGTTTGCATCTCAGCTCCACCACTACAGGCTGTTATTATTGCAAGCAAGGAGGGAGCTTCTCTGAACCTCAGTCCTCTATCCCTGTTGGGAGTAGCCATACCTACTTCAGTAGGGTGGTGTCAATGTGTGCAAAAGTTGGCACACCTGTGTCAGTCAGGACTTTGCCCCTGTACATGCTTCCTCAGCTTGTCAGCCTCCCTTCTTGCCTCCAGGGAGCATAGCCTGCCTCACAGAGACAGAGCTGACTGTCCCAATGATAGCTGAGAATCACTGTGGGCTAGAGCTGCCAGGATTGCCTCAAGAGCAGGATCCATTTTGGGCAGGCGTTAAAACAGGGAAGATTCTGGAAGTAAAGGGCAACCACCAAATGGGATACTTATGACCTAAACTAAATCTTGTTTCCCCCTATGAACACCCACTCTGATCTTTTGTTCTACTTAATTGGTCCTGTCCTTGACCCTGAAATTCGCCCTTCCCCTTTACACCTTTGTATCACTGAAGGTCTGGAGCCCACGTCTTCCAATGTGTGGGAATAAGCAAAGGGTGCTGCCTGTAGGCTTGCTGCTCAGTCAGAACTGGAGAATAACAATAAAAGCAACAGCTAACATTTATCAAACTGTTTAATTACATTCTCATTGGACAACTCCCCCTTCCACCCCAAAAAGCAGCTAATCTTCTCCCCCACCACACAGATGAGAAAAGTGAGCCTAGGGAAGTTCTATAACTCGCTGCAAGTCACTTAGTGGAAGAGGGGTGGTTCTGGAATCCAGATTCAGTGTGACGGGGACAAAAGAAAAATCAGCAAGATGGTCCACACACAAGCACATGTGCATGTGTGCTAATTATGGAAATTAGTAAAAAGAAAATTAAATGAAGCCCAAAGAGGTGAAATTCAATCTCATGTTACACTGCAGAGTGAGGAAGGGTAAGGCAAGAGGGGTAAAAGCCCAAACGAGAGAGATGTGGGGAGAAGGTGATGTATGGGGGTGAGGAGGACACATTTGGAGACTGTGCTGAAATGACAGCTCTGAATGTGGGGGTGGTAGCGAGTTCTCATTTTCAAGGTGTTCTCACTCTCTCTATCTCTGAATTCCAAGGTGTGAGGTGTTTGTCAAATGTACCACCCAAGTCATCCCTTAATTGTATGCCACCCTGTCTAAATGTTCTTTGTTTTACGAGGGTCTTCTCCCAGGGACTGTTGGGCCCAGAGGCCCAGAGTCTGTGCTGGTTTCTCTGTTCTTATAGCACCCCTCACCTTCTGCACAAACAGGAATGGAGGTGCTTACTAAGGCTGCAATGATGGATTGACAGGGTGGGGGGACAGATGGATGGGGGATGGATAGAAGGAGGGGAGACAGCTGAAAGGCACAGGAGTCTGATGGAGGAAGAGGAGCCCAGCCCTGCAGGTAAGAAATGCTCAAAACTTTGGTCTTTAGCTAACTCTGCATTCTCCAGGGTCTATAATAATGTGTTGGGGTAATCCAGACTTCTTTTTTTTTAGGTTTTAAAAAATTTATTTTTTAAAAGTTAACATGCGCATAAAAGGAAACTGAAAAACACAAGAAGCAAAGAACAAAGTCATCCATAATCACAAGCAGTTTACAGTTTGACTTCTAGATCCTATGTGTGTATCTACACAAGTAAGCATTTTAATGTAATTAAGATCGTACAGTTATGTACCATGCTTTTTTATACACCATAAATATTTACCATTTCAAAGTCCCCAAACTATGAGTATTTTGAAACCAAGAATACACTACATCAACTCCATCTGAAAGAAAAAAAATGTAATCCTGCCTTTCTTGGTGACAAAAATTTCATAAAAGACAAAAATGGCAACAGGCCTCTAGATAAAGATATTGGCAGAGTTACAATTAAAAAAAATGTATTCCCTTAATGTTCAGTTAAAACTGGGACAAAGTAAGAGTACACAATGTACAATGCTTCTAAAAGAATTCATTATCCAATCTATACTATTCAAATATTAGCAAGGAGGTATGTTTCCATTGAATCCCTTAATGTATTCCTATAATACAGCCAAAGAGACACACACACATTAACAGTTATCATTACAATGTAAATATGAACACATCCGCATACA